CCCACAGCTGAGGTGTGCTCTCCAGGCAAGCTCCTGCAAACGCGTCGATACCAGGGCCAGCTCCAATCTAGCTCAACGTCAGCCTTCCGCCTGCCAGCCAGCATCGTCGTCACAAACCCCCAAGGGACCACACGTATACCGAGTTCTCGACTCTTCAGCATCGCCATTCTACAAAGAACTATCACAGCTGCCTCGGAACAGTCAAGATGTCGGGTGTGTACTGGACAATGGACCGGGGGAGCAACCCTCAGCTCCCTAACCCTCGGCATGCAACTGACTGACACCCCCTCCTTTAGGCGGCTCAGCATACGACCGACACATCACGATCTTCTCCGAACAGGGAAGATTGTACCAAGTTGGTATGCCATAGCCCCCTCTTGAACTCTTACGGCAACCGACAACCGTCGTGGCTCCGCCATCCTGTTGTCGGGACATGAAGCGGAGAACAGCAGCCCGGATATGCTCACCACTCTTCGATGCCCTCGCATCCGCTGACAGTCTGATTCGATTAGAATATGCCTTCAAGGCCATCACAGCTGCGAACATCATGTCCATAGGTGTTAGGGGCAAGGACTGCGCCGTGGTCCTGTCCCAGAAGAAGGTGCCCGTACGTCATGATGGTCATGCCCACGCATGAGGAACTGGATGAAAGAGCTGACCCCATCCGCAGGATAAGCTGATCGACCCTTCCTCTGTCTCGCACATCTTCCAGCTCTCTCCTTCCGTTGGCTGCGTGATGACTGGATCCATCGCCGACGCTCGCGCATTCTCCCAGCGCGCGCAGTCCGAAGCCGCCGAGTTTCGGTACAAATACGGTTACGAGATGCCTTGCGATGCCCTGGCCAAGCGTCTGGCCAACATCAGCCAGGTCTATACTCAGCGCGTAAGCCGATGATGATATGAATATACAGCATGCGTGCATGAAGTTGATAGCTTGTAGGCATACATGCGACCATACGGCGTTGCAACGACGCTCATTTCTGTCGACTCTGAATTCGGTCCGCAGCTGTTCAAGACCGACCCCGCCGGATACTACATTGGCTACAAGGGCACCGCTGCGGGGCCCAAGCAGCAGGAGGCGCTGAACCACCTCGAAAAGAAGCTGCGCAACAAGGAGCATGCCGAGGGTGACTGGACCGAGGTCGTCGAGCTCGCGATCACCACTCTCAGCACGATTCTGAGCATGGATTTCAAGAAGGGCGAGATCGAGATTGGCATTGTGGGCGGACCCCGTGCGGATGGCAAGGAGGGCACGAGTACCGCGTTCAGGACCCTGACCGAGGACGAGATCGACGAGCGTCTACAGGCGATTGCTGAGAAGGACTGATATCGCCACACGAGTCGGTCATGAGAGAGCTGAGATTTCATGAGGCGCGCGCCCGGGTTTGCCGCTGAGAAAGCGGACAGATTGGGTGGGATGGACTGGTTTGATGGACACGACGTGAGCAACAAGCAACGACCCAGCGCAACACGCCCACACAAAGACTCCAGCCAGGACCACATCACGCCTGGCGGCTGTGACGACCTGAAAGCGTCGCAGCATGTTGTACTACTAGTTGTCTGACAGGCGTTATAGAAGTCAAGATCCTCGATACGCCGATTCATTGCTTATTGATGACATGATGACTTGGACCTGGCATGATCCAGTAGTGGTTGCTGAGCTGCAAGCTGAAGGCTGAATGGGGGGGAAGGGGCTGCGGGGAACGCAAGCACACACACCCCATTCGGGCAGCTGGCAGCGTGAGAAAGCCTTCCCATATGATCTGACATCATACTACATCGATTTTTAAAGTTGGCGGCGAGGTTCGGGAGATACAATCGCCGGGGAGATGGAGGGGGTATGAGACACAGAATGGTAGCACCACACTTTAAGCTGCTTGTGTGGTGGCTGGGAGGCTGAAGGGCACGACCAGCGAGAGGGTGTGATGAGTAGACAGACTGGTGTCTGTCACCCGTAGGGCGGCCAGTCGAATGAGCCGGCGCCCTCCCGCCGCGAGCCAACAAACGAACTGGTTCGATGGCGGATAGCGCCTCAACCGTTGAGTACATCAGAAAGGGTGTGTGTGGTAAGGGGTGAAGGGGGCAGAGGAGGATCACGCCAGCGAGTGAGGAAGATTTGTCTGAGATGGCTCAACGGTTGGTGACGAATTGCTAGCCAGTACGCCTCGTGCAAGCCTCCCTCGTGGAACGTGCGTGCAGAAGGCAATCCGTCAAAATGTCCGTTCATGGGTTGAAGGCGACGGCCATAGGGTCGAGGGGGAGGAGTCGCGAGCAGATTAAACGTGGGGTGGCACGTCCGATCACCCACGGCATCGGCGTTGGTAATGGGCCAGCGAGGGGGCCATCTGCATCGAGCCCGAGACACGATGGGACCACTCAACCGTGATGGATGCCACGTTGGAGAGCAATTGACAAGGCGACTGACGTCCTTGGGTTGAGACTAATGCAGGTGAGTCGAGCGAAAATACCATTTCTCAGCTGGACCAGGTCGTCGGGAGACAAGACTGTAGGAAAGCAGTGCGTCGATTGGCCTCGTGGCGGTGTCTGCCCTCTGCATCTCCCCTATGCCCCCTCGGGCCCCCGCTGCAATGCAAGGCTTCAGCCCCCTACCGGATCGGGCTACTGGGCCAGTCTTGGGGGAAGCTGATGAGGGCACCGCTTTCCCAATTCGACAAGCAAATGTTTCGCTTCGGAAGGCCCCTTCCAACCCGCTGCACCTCCTCCACACCGGGCGGTCAGTCAATCAGTCACCCACCACACCCTGTACCTACTACTTGCTACTGTACCTAGGTACGCTGCTAGGTAGGTACCCAAGTTCCGTACAGCCCTCCGGTCTGCATGGTGCTCGATAGCCGCCTGCCATGTCACATCTCTCCCAATTGACCCAAGTCATGGCAATCTGCAGATCACGCCGACAAAGCAATACTGCCCATGCACGCCCTGGTTACGGTGCTAATACAGTCCCACGCAAGGAGCCTTGCGAACCCATGCCATCATCCCATTCATTCCATTCATCCCATCAATCCCATGTGCCGCTCTCCCCAAACCCACGAGACCCTGGTCGTCCAGCCATGCACGTCGCCAGGCCTCCGGGAGGCGCCAGGCCATTTACGGCTCGAACGTCACGACGTCAGGACGCCACGGCGCGGCTAGGTTGCAGGCTAGCTTTGAGCTTGCACGAGGCGCTCGACCTCTCACGATATCTCTCACTTGTCGTTGACGTTGACTGGTCGCGTGAACGCTGCCAGCCTCATGCATCCCTATGGGGCTTCTCTCTGTGTGTCTCTTTTTTCTTTCTTTCTTGCTTGGCCCATGCTACCCTCCCCCACCCCTTGCCTTAGTTGGACACACGTTTGGAGATGGGGCTCCGGGCCTTGTCAGCCTTTGGACCCATTGAGCAAAAGTCTGGCAACCAAATCAACCGCTATGGGAGTTCGGCACTTCTGTCCATATCCTAGATCTCGAGGACGAGTGTCCTTGACTTCGGAGGCCTTCGAGCACATACAAAAGCCATCGGGAGCCCGGCTGGCATCCGGCCATTTGAGGGAAAGCAGCCACCATCGCCGATAAAGCTTCAGTTCCTGGTCCCGATATGCTGTGCAGCCAATGCTAATCGTCACTCTCACTCGCTCACCATTTCTCCTTCTCAATCTTCCTTCCCCCTTCCCTGGCTTGGGTTCGCCAGTTCTAACCGCCATATATTGCTGTTGTCTGCTTTATGCCTTGAATAGACCTGGGACAACGTTCGCTTTCGTCGCCAGTTCTTTCTTCTTCTTCGATTCGTCGCTCTTATATCCAAAGTCACTCCATAATGGACGGGTGTAAGTGGATCGATCTGGTGGCGACAACGAAGCCTCGCATCGTGGGGGCGAAAATCAAGTGTCCCTATTCAAAACTGACCTCTTTCCCCTATTAGTGAACGAGTACAGGCGGGTCCGTGTCGCTGACGTTCTCTCTGATTTCCGCACTCTGCAGTACTATATCGCTGCTGCGCCGACCGAGCCGGAAAACATGGAAGACTACTATGCCGAAGGCTGGGCCGCTCTGCGACAGTGCTCCCTTGATGGGCAGCACATACTTAATTGCGCCGCCGACACGAGTGTGCCTCAAGCCGCTGGTGGTGAGGAGGAGCAGGAGAAGGCTGAATTAAAACAGTGCGTCGACGAATCGTCATCGAAAGGGCCGGCCTTCAATACTGACCGACTGATATAGGATCCTCCTCGACTCATTTGCCCGGCGTCACGAGGGCCAGAAGATCTATCTCAGACAAGCTGCTGCGCAGCGATGGGTCGACAATCGGAACAACATTCTGCAGGGCGGAAGACCGCACTCGGGGAACCAGTCCATGGTGCGGTCCTGTGATCGGCAGCTCCGAGCAGTGAGTTGCAAGCCGTCCAATATCAACGAGGTCGGGCCAGCTGACGCGAAACTACAGGAGCTCGCTACCATCACAGACGAGGCAATCTACACTGAGCTTCGTGCTTCAGACCAGGCGATGGGCCGCTGGACGGCCGAAGACCCCAGCTTACGTGGTGTGCAGCGCTGGCTACGCGCACGCCGATGATAGGCTTTTCTTCATCTTCACCCTTTTCGACCTAATCCATAATCGCATGAGATGTCCGTCACGATTCACGACGGAGGAGAAGCCTACACGGCTCATCATTTTCAATGAGAAAGGCAAGAGACGACACATGTTCCGGGACCAAGAGACACGCAAGGATACTCTGCATCTATCATTTCACATTCATCAGTGGAGAACCAGGTTTGCGCCAGGCTGCGCTCTCCATCATGAAATCTTTTGGAAGGTGGGGGGGGGGGGGTTGGGTTTGGCCGGAAGGGATTGAAAGGAGGACTCAACTTCAATGAGTCTGCCCGGCGCAGATCGCTGTACACATCTTATTCTTGGACATATTTACCGGTTGGCAGTTTGACATGCGCCGCGAAACGGCACCAGAACATACAATTTCAAGTTATTGCTATCAGCTATGGATTCTAAAGGTATTTCTGCAGGCTACTGATAACGTGTATGAAGGAAGCGTTGAGCGCCCATATCAGAGCTTGCTTTGCACGCAAAGCCCAATGCCGCTCAATGACAGAACCATGCCGATTGCGGTGTCTGGGGACATGTCAGAAAAAGAAAGGGGCAGGATCAGATGAGCCTTACCTCTGCTGATAACCTTCTTCTCGACCCACCATTCTCCAATGACGGTGAATAGAAAGGCGAGCGTGTTCACAATGGGAACAGTCAAGCTCAACTCTGTACGAGGCGCGCCGCATGGTCAGCCCGACATTAATTCAAAAACCCTTCGATGTCCGACCCAAGGCATGTGCGAAGGGATGGCAATGTGTGCATCAAGAGGAGAACGTACCAGCCTGTCCGATAAGAAGGAAGAACCAGATGCTCCCCGTAAGGTTGATGAGCAGCGGCACTGCATAGCGCGGGTTTCTCAACAAATCGATGACGCCGAAAAAGGTTCCGTAGAGCTTGCTCTTCAGCCAGCTCGACTTGACAGCCTCGGTATCGAGAACCGGGTGGGCAGGCGGGTTGTGGTCCTTGGCGGCACGGCGGATGAAGGGCGTCGTAAGGCCCCAGGCGAGGCCGACCATGAGAAATCCGATCACATAGTTGATGACCGGAGGACGGTCTTCCGCCGGCAGTGCTGCTTCGGATGCCATGAGAGCGAGCGGCTGGGCACGGAGAGACGTGGAGAGGCGGCGGCAGCAACGGAGCGGCTCGGGAGGGATGACAGAGGTCCTTGCGGTGAGCTGCGTTTGTCGATTGGTATCAATGCTCGCCCAACGCGCTGACTGGTGCTCGACTGAGGCTGATTTAGGGATCGCTAGTGTGAACTGTCCTGCTTTCGCGTGACGGGTTGCGATGGGACCCTCTCGGAGCTCGCGATGGAGGTGAGGTCAGAATTGGGACAAGCCTCAGCACAGCCGCATTCCGCGGCTAGCCCCCTCACAGCCGCAGTGCGGGCGGTGATTGGCTGCGGGTACGATGCACCTGGCTCGTGGGGCTCTCGTGCTCGATCTGCATCTCCCCAGGACAGGCACATTTTCGGCCAGGTGCTATTTCTGGTAACAGCCTTCACGATGGCTTCATCAACAAAGTCCATGGGGAGATAGCAGATGTCGGTCGAGGCTCCATTGACAGACTTCGCATTGCAAATGTGCGGCACAGATATTTTTCGGCAGGCATCGCACTGCTAGTCTGCCCGATCCATGACTTCCTCCCTCCTTAGTGTACCTACCTAAAGTTGATAAACAGCGAGGGCAAAACATGCCTTCCTAGAGCGGCGTTGCACCATCCAGGCGAGGGAGCCTTTGGTCCGCTATGCACAAACCAATTCGTTGTTTGTCAAGCGCGTGAGATCATGGATGACCTGGCAGCGTGCAGGAAACGGCGATTCGTCACAAAAAGCCACTGACACCCATGACTCCTGGGGGGGAAAGACGGTGGTGCCGTCAACTACGACCACACATTGACTTTTGTCACTGATGGAGAGAACCGTGTTAACGGTTGACATTGCCAGCTGCTCAAGTATTCCACGACTCCGGTCCTTGCATTTGCAAACACTGCTGGATGTCAGTGCCTTTTCCATGACATCATCACTAGTGAATGCCTCCCTCAAGTCTTCCTGTTCACCTTCTCGACACTTTAACATTCAACAACCTAGAACAGCTGATAGCGCATGAGGCAGATGTCTATTCACGGATTGCCTGTATTTCTGCACCAAAGCCTGTGCAGTTTGAATCGGGCGAAGGGTGCGAGTGGGCGATGGAGTCGTCATCCATCGGCAGTTCCCCATGTCACTGACGGTGGTATGGCATTCAGCGAGCCGTGCCTCACATTGGTTTCTTTTCCATTTCTCGAATAACGCCGATCACTGCCCCTCTTCACTACCCCATGCTGGATCCCTAACCTTACCATCGTACCTGTCTAGCGGTCTAGACAAAGAATGGAGTCCTCCGGCCGCAGCGATCCGTCTCGGCCCCATGTCAACAGGAGCTTTCTCTCCGTACCTTAGCTTGGTTCGATGGCATTGGGCAGCCTTCTCACCTGCCGCTTTCACAATCCACCTCGACTGCATTCAATGCGGCCTGGCTTAGACTCAATCTCTGAGATCGGCTGGGAACAAGATCTACCTAGGGCTGCTGATGCCGAGAAGCATTGTTTGACTGCCCTGAGCATGTACCTCGTTCACGCTCCCTTGCAAAACAGCAGCCGGCATGGTTTGTAGTGATGATGATGGCAAGTGCTGGCCGAGCCCAACCTTTGAGACGTGCCAGACGTCATGACATGGAAAGCCACATCAAGCTGGTATATCGGTGATCGAGATGAGGAAGATGATGCATGGATCCGGACGAGCAGCCGTGTCAGCCGCTGGGAGATCACCGCCCTTTGGGCTTCACTCTTCGATGGCATGCTTTCACGGTACACTGCGTGGTGTTAGACACGGAATCAGTTTGGTCCAGCAACGGCATGCCGATGTTAGGCATCGAGTGCACAACAAGCCTCCAAACCATCTATAAGAAGGGCTCACTTTCCGCTTCATCCATCCTTCTGCTCCTCATCACAACAGCTTCATCAACAACAACAATCGATCAACCGACAACTCACCACATCAGTCAACCACCCTTTCCCCCTTAAACCAAACCCCCCAACCAACAGCAATATGCCCAGCGACGCTCAGGTTGCCGGAGGCCACAAGGCCAACATCAACAACCCCAACACCTCCGAGGAGAGCAAGCAGCATTCCCGCGATGTCCTGAACAATGAGTTCGGCGGCGAGGACGCCCCAAACGCCGCCTCGGCCCAGTCTGCCAACGATGACAACAAGAACCCCGGCAACGTTGCCGGCGGTCTCAAGGCGTCAGTAACCTCTTCCAGCAGTTCCCAATGATCATGCTCACATATTATCACAGTACCCTGAACAACCCTAACGTTTCGGACGAGGCCAAGCAGTCGGCCAAGGAGCGCCTCGACGCCATGTAAAGCGCGAGAAATGGAGGATAGGCACAATACTTTATGTAGCCGAGTACAGGCGCTGGTGTTCCAGCGGAAAATTGAGTTTGTCTCCATTGACATTATTCTTGGTGATGCTGTTGCCTTGATGCCCAGTTCTAGAAAGATACAGGTGATGCGTCCTTGTCACCAAAAAAAATCGTCACTGCATAATTTCATGACACGGTCACGGCGCGTCAACAATGGGAAATAAGGCTTGATTTTTAGAACACATCATCGATAGCCTTGTCAGAATCCTTCTGGATGAGTTCCACCATGCCCTAGGGCAAGTCAGCGCGAATCGTGTGTCAATCTGAAACAGAAAACTCACCTCTGGCATCACAGGCTTGCCGGCGCTGCCCTCTACGTAACGGAAAGGCATCTGCGTGCTCTCATGCTCGTTGAAGACCAAGTCAGGGTAGTCGAGGTACGCAATCTTGTCCAGGGCCGCTGCACCAACATTAGGTCACTTGTGGGCGACGGGTCAGATACGCACACTTACTCTTGCCCTCGACCACGAGCCTCGTCACGCGGACAGCCGTGTCAGTGGTCATCTGCTTGGGTCCGAGCCTGCGGCCCTCGAAGCCCTTCTTCCTCAACTCCGAGGTGCGGTCTACAGCAGGTCAGGCGAGTGGTTCTCACGTGAGAGTCATGCGAGTGGGACGAACCTCGGGGAGGGTCATCACCAAGGATGCCGCCGAAGAGGAAGGCGTCAAACTTATCGCCGTCCTCAGGGCCGAGGTCGCTGGCGGCCGCCGGATCCAGGAGGCACACTCGTGACTTGTCGGCGGCGTAGAGCTCCTCGACGCCCCTGTTTTCGGCCTTGAAGGCAGGGCTTGCCTGGAGCTTGGCAGGGGCCTTGAAGCCTGCGGGAAGCGAGGAAAGGAGGAAGGTCCCCTTGGCCTCATGGGTTTCCTTGGCGATGGCGATGTATTCGAGCTCTGACCAAGGGCCGAGCTCGGGGTCGAGATGCTCGACAATATATGTCTTGCCACCGGTGGTCGACATGGTGAGGCGGGTGGGTGACCAGGGTTGTGGGTGCTTGGACCAGATTTTGAGGCTGTCGATACCTCAGTGTCGGGCAGTACTGCAGAGTTCATTCAATGCAATGTGGAGGCTTCAGATCATGTATGCTAGTAGAGGACATGGTTTATGCAATATCCGAAAAGCATTGAAAGAAGGTTCACAGCGGCTGCGCAAACAAAGCACCAGGGCGGCCCGTATAAACTTCTGGAACCCAATCTTTCACAAAACAATGGCTGCTCACATTATTCCTTACTCATTACGAATTTATATACAAGCCTATCCTGTGAAAGTGCCTCTTTCTTTTTTCGCTTCTCATTTCACGGAGCAGCATAAAGGATCGGATCGATTTGGCAACCGACTACAGAATATGCATGACATGGTCTCATTCAGACCGGGGATCCAGATTGAGGCTAGTGCCGATGAACCCCCCCGAAGTTTTTGCGGTCAAGCCAGCCTACGTACTTAACGCGTGCGTGAAATCCGCTCCCCAACGGCAGCATGCCAGAGTGGTTAATGGGTGGGACTTGAATAAGACTTTATACCTATCCCATGGATTCGTCCGCGCAGGTTCGAACCCTGCTGCTGTCGTCACAATTTTTTTTCTTTAAATTTCCTATGCCATGCACCGCTTGACTGCTTCCCGAATGGTGCATGGTGCAGGGTGTTTTTGTGTCTGCACATGATCGTGTCGAATGTCGCTTTTTTTCATGGCCGTGCGGTGAGTCCTGATCTTGATTAAGCACTCCATTTCTAAGCTCACAGTCAACACTGACCAGGTTCCTCGCACTCTGAGCAGAATATGAAATCAAGGCTCAGTAGCTTACCTTGCCGCTACCATTCATCGATAACAACGGGATGAGTAGCTTACCTGGACCTAGATAGTTGTTGTTTCCCAGGCATCCAGAATATTGGCTTCCAGTGTCGCTTGGGTTCACCACGCGCTCTTTCCCGTCTCCCGTCTGCATGTGGATCGTTGTGTTTGTTGTGTGTGTAAGTGCGCATGCATATCTGGTGTTGAGTGTAGGTGTGGATGGGAAGTGGAAAACATGAGAGATCCTTTATCCTTCTCGAAAAAATGGGAGAAGCTGATTCCTTTTAAATAATGTAGGCAACCATTCACTGATTGAAAACATCAGCATGCAGTGGTCAGTTGAATGTGAAGCGGATCACAGCCAGTGAATGTCATCTACAACGCGCATGGGTTTACAAACTTGCCGGGATGGCTGTCCCTTCCCATGTCAGCTCGCTGCCAATTCTAGCTGACATGCCCCAACTACTCGGACGCCTCTACCCAGTAGGCTTCATCTTTCGAGAGGATACATGGCTCGTTCATCTTCCATGTTGCACCACCCCCAATGAGGAGTCAACACCCACTCGAGAGGTAGAATGCAATATGTTCAGGCATGAATCATTGTGAGGACTAGTGTAGTAGCAGATCTTGCGGCACGCCGAAGACAATGGCCACGGAGCGCCAAAAGCTTGTACTGCCTCGGTGGACCCCGAGCTCAAGGCGTAGGTGTACCACGGCGAGAAGACTACAAAATCAGCTGAACCTGTCAACAATCCCCCTGTCCGCGTCGCAGGTACTGAAGGAAAGGGCGCAGACAAGATATCTCAGACTATCGAGGATGGGTATGGCGATCTGGCTAGGTGTGACAACGCCACGGGCTTTGAGCTAGTGCTTGCCAATGGCAGTGACTGGCACATTCGCAACGACGAGGATCCGGACAATGTAGTTGGTTCCCGTTACAAACCACGATCCACACTGTCTGGACAGCATCGATTGTCAGCATGAAGCGTGAGAGACCAACGTTGCTGATGGCAAAATGTCAATGGCAGATCCAACACGTGCCCATGGCGGGAATCAGTGTACAGCGAAACAATAGCCAATGTGTTGTACCAATCGGGTCTTGAATGGCTTTGACGTGGCGGACCTGAGGCGTCAGCTACACCAGCGGCAGATGGCATCCTGGCTTGCCTGGCAGGTAATCGCTAGGGTGCTTACCTACCTAGGAACCTACCTAAAGGCATCTACCTAGGTACCCAAGGTACCGTAGGTAGGTACTTTAAGCACTGCGTTAGGGGCCCCTTACAAGAGATGGCTAGGAACGGGGCAGGGGAGGGCCCCACCCACGCCCGCCGGCACCTGTCAAGCGGACACCTTTCACCTCGATCGGGCTTTCGAAACAGGAGAGCGAGCCTTCTCTCGTCCTTCACCAACGGCCGTTGCCGACTGCGACCTCACTCTTCCTTCATTCCCTCCGCCGTTCGATTCGCAATCGCTGATCAATCCCATGCCGGCGACCTAGCCCAGAGCTGCCATTTCCCCCTTCACTTCCGCTTCGCGACCGCTCGCGGCAGCTCGCGAACCGTCTGGAAAGGCAACTCCCCCATCATGGCCCCGGCCATCAGGCAGCTGGCCACCGGCCTCCTGCTCGCACTATCATGGGCACCCACGACGCGCGCCGATTCGTCTGCCGCTGACTACTATGTCAAGAGCTTGCCCGGACAGCCGGCAGGGCCTCCTGTCAAGATGCACGCTGGGTTTGTGGAGACTTTCTTGCTCGTCTGGCTCCCCTGAGATGGACTGATGCTAACATGACGTGTGTTGCAGGCACATCGAGACGGACGCTGACCACAATGGCAACCTCTTCTTTTGGCACTTTGAGAACAAGCACATTGCTCAGAGACAACGCACCGTCATCTGGCTCAACGGCGGCCCGGGATGTAGTTCCGAGGACGGCGCCATGATGGAGATCGGCCCCTACCGCGTCAAGGGTGACCAGCTGGTCAACAACAATGGCTCATGGCATGAGTTCGCCAATTTGCTCTTCGTCGATAACCCGGTCGGCACCGGCTTCAGCTACGTTGACACTAACAGCTACCTCCACGAGCTCGACGAGATGGGTGATCAGTTCATCCTCTTCCTGGAGAAGTTCTTCAAGCTGTTCCCGCAATACGCTCAGGATGATGTAGGCACCTCCGCCCAGAAGGAACCGAGGGTGGAACGTGAAGCTGACTTTTGCAGTTGTACTTTGCAGGCGAATCGTACGCCGGCCAGCACATCCCCTACATTGCGAAGCACATCCTCGAGAGGAATGAGAAGGCTGGTCCGGATGACCAATGGAACCTCAAGGGACTCGTCATCGGCAACGGCTGGATCTCCCCATTCGAACAGTACGGCTCTTACCTCAAGTTTGCGTACGAGAAGGGCCTCTTGGCGCAGGGTTCCGAAAAGGCCAAGCAGCTGGAGCAGCAGTGGAAGATTTGCCGGAAACAGATGGCTGTCGATATCAAGATTGACATCAGTGAGTGCGAGGCGATCCTGCAGAAGATCCTCGACGTCACCGCAACCCTCACCACGTCGGGCAAGCGCAACTGCTACAACATGTACGACGTCCGTCTCAAGGACACGTACCCTTCCTGCGGCATGAACTGGCCCCCCGACCTGACAGACGTTACCCCCTACCTCCGACGCAAGGATGTCACCGAGGCCCTGCACATCAATGCTGCCAAGAACACTGGCTGGAAGGAGTGCAACGGTGCCGTCGGCTCCGCCTTCCGTGCGCACAAGTCCAAGCCCTCCCGCGACCTGCTGCCCGACCTCTTGAAGAAGGTCCCCATCACGCTGTTCTCTGGCGCCGAAGACCTCATCTGCAACCATATCGGCACTGAGGAGATGATTGGCAACATGGAGTGGAATGGCGCCAAGGGCTTCGAGGTGTCCCCTGGCAACTGGGCGCCTCGTCGTGACTGGACCTTCGAGGGCAAGGATGCCGGTTTCTGGCAGGAGGCCCGCAACCTCACGTACGTGCTCTTCAAGGAGGCCTCGCACATGGTGCCCTTTGACTGGCCCCGCCGCTCGCGCGACATGATCGACCGCGTCATGAAGGTCGACATCAGCGCCATTGGCGGCGAGCCCACTGATTCTCGTATCGACGGCGAAAAGGGTCCCGTGACCTCCGTGCCCCCTTCGAAGGGATCCAACAACCACCCCGACACTAAGCCTGGCGGCGGCGACAAGGGCTCCAGCACCAACGACGACGAGACACAGAAGCAAGTTGACGAGGCCAAGTGGAAGGCGTACTACCGCTCCGGCGAAATCGTGCTCGTCATTGTCGTCATCGCCGCCGGCTTGTGGGGCTGGTACATCTGGCGCGATCGCCGCCGCAGGAGCGGCTACCAGGGCGTCGCTGGCGGAGACGGCGCCGGCCCAGGCCACCGCGCGGGCGCCCGCGGCCTTGACCGTTTCCAGGACAGGAGGACGGCGAGGGATGTCGAGACGGGCGACTTTGACGAGAGCGAACTGGACGACCTGCACGTCGAGACGCCGCGCGAGGGGCCGCATAAGGAGGCCTACGCCATTGGCGACGACAGCGACGAGGAAGACATCAAGGGCAAAGGACCCGAGCGTTCCGGCACGCGGTGATCGCGAACAAGGACGACGACGACGAGACACAAAATGAGCACGTGTCATAAAGCAGACGCTATTTCCGGTCATGGGGGCGGGCTGGGTTTGGGCGTCTTGAGCGAGAGACCACTGTGGGATATATAACTGTATAGTATTGGCAAATACGAGGCCATCTTTCAACCGATCTCGAGTCTCTGTGGGATTGCTTTTTAAGTGGTGAAACGTGTCCATGGGCATGAATAGTTGGACTGAACTCGGTACTTTGTCCTAGGTAGCTGAAGGAGCAGATGACCATGTGCCAAGCCTACATGTCCAACCAACGCTTTCGTCATGGGCCAATGCCTGTTTTTTCTTCCCTTCGAATCGCCTGTTCATCTTTCGACCCTCCTGGTCCATCCCAGCAATCAACTGATTTGGTATCCCGTGAACGCTTCTATGCATATACTACTTTATCCCCAACGCCCAATGTCCCTTCCCCATTCCAGCCAATACGCCATGAAGGGCCGCCCAAACATCTCTCGACGGGATGCTGACCTGCGGCCCGAAGCAAGCAAAGCAGCCTTACAGTTGAATCTCGTTGTTGAGGAGTCTGACCTCCTCGCCCGGCTTGAAGGGAGGGAGACCGACATAGGGGCTGCGACTCATGTCAGTGATGTACGCCTCCTATACAACTCGGGGGACGGAGCACGGAGAAAAGAACTCACCATCCATCGCATCGGAACGCGTCGCCCAGGGCGCAGTTGCCGCAGCTGCCGACCTTGCCCTGGACGGTAAAGTCAACCTCGGCCAGGTCATCGGCGGCCAGCTTGACGTTGGCCGCCTGCTTCTGGATGGCGCCGAGCTGGGCGTCTGCGGCGGCGCGCTTCGCAGCGTCTTCGGCCGCTAGCTTCTCTGCCAGACGCAGCTGCAGTCTTTACAGGC